TTATCCACCGTAAGGGAACCCTCAGGCATCCTCTGGTATGAATTTGGCACATTAAGGCCAGTCAATCTTTGGGGCACGGCGATGTCCTCTGCTTGCTCAGCTCAGCTCTTCAGCCTTTCCTGGGCATTTTCTCATGGGAGGTCACACTTACCGCACTGCTAAGATTTCAGGCTACAGTGCAAAGTGAATTTTCCCTTTATGTAAATTGTATCTCGAAGTACCGTAATGGTGCCAAATGTGAGCTATGGAAAGCAATTCAAAATCTGGAAGACATGCAGCAAGCTCATAACATTAATCATATCAAACCCAGGTGATCAAACCCACTAACCCAGCCATAAAGCATAAAAAGCTATAAAATCCATTGAGAAACCTAAGGAAAAGTAGTTAATGCTGTTTTAGAGGCTTAAAATGGCAATACTGAGTAGCTATAGTAATTATAGTTATAGTGAGCTGTTTGTGAAGAGAATCCCACTTATTTTAGAGTCTCCAGATAGTTGCCACTTGTTTACAGACAGTCATCATTTCACACCTTGACGTAAAGCATTAGCAGCGTGTTTAGAAGCCGTAAGGGAAGCCATGTTTAAAGCCTGTGATGTGACACAGGACTGGGAATTTATTTGCGTCCCTGGTGATTTAGCCCTCCCGCTCTGCCGGCAGGCAGGACTCCATTTCAGCGTTCAGAATATTCTCACTTGTGTGGTTTTACCGCTCTCAGGAGTCCGATTGTTTATTTAGGATACGAGTAATGCCTTCAAAAAATCTTCCTGTACTGCCTTTTCTTTGTTTAAAGGAAATCTGTGCTCTTGTGCAGTTATTTTCCTTCCATTACCTTTTGCACAAATGCATCATACACAAAAAACTTTATTAGGGCAAATGATGTTGTCGTGACATTTACTTGGTTAAAATCCTGTTAATAACAAATGAGAGACTCACAGCAACTCATAGCAGATTTGCCAAATGGCAGGAAAAATACATATTATTTCCATCTTATTTTGGAGGACTGCCAATAAGACTTTTCAACTTGACCCTAATTTAATGTAAACTACCATGCCTAGGTCAGGGCAGAAGGGGGGGGAAGCAGCCGGGGGCAGTCCCAGCCCTGGGGCACCTCCCTGGGGATGGGGCCAGGCTGCGGGTGGTGGTGGCTGGCTGGGACCCAGGGCTGGGCACACGGCCACATGGCAGCTCTGAGCTGGCCCCTGGTCCTGGCAGCCAAACCTCCAGGAGCCCCTGGGGATGCTCTCACAACCCTTACAGCAGAGCTCACCATCACGCTTTCCTAAACAACAACTTCACAAAGGCTGCATTTGTATTATTTTACGGCTAGAGGACAACAGCACAAAGAGATTACAGTCGTATGCACCCATCAATTCGGGGTGAGCACAATTTTCCAGGCACCATTGGCTCTGTGGCCGTGTCTGTGCTAGTAAATCAACTACACCTGGAGCGGTTTGCTGGATCTAAGAAGTCCAGCTGGCAAGGAGCTGCCCAGCTTCACACTATGAAAGCCCTTACCCTCCAAAGCCGGCTGACGGCATCCCATTGCCTGTCAGGAGCACCACCCGGCCACCGCCAGTTCCTCAGCTGTGCTGGGGTAGTTGCAGGAGAACCACAGCTGCCCCAGGCCAAAACTCTGTTAGCGATTTACAGAGCAGGCAGCTGAAGTTCAGCACCTGGAAACACTCCCAGCCCATGTGAGTTTGCTAGCCCAGAGCCCACGTGTCCAACACAGCTCCCACTGGCTTGCACATGCAAGCCCAGAATGCTCCCCGCTTGCAGAAGGCACTGAGGTCTCCAGCCAACCAACCAAAACACAAGGAACAGTCAAAGGCAGCTTTGGTGGACCTGGGGAAAGGGATCTGCAGCTTCTACAGGGGATCATTTTGGATACCACAACCATGAGACAGTGCTTTCGTGTCCTGCACTGCGCCTTGTCTTCGTGATCATCTGGTTGCCACCTTCTGAGAGAGCTGGGGAGGCAAGAGCTATAATGTCTTCTGGTAAAAACATCCTAACACATTCCTAGAGAAGACTTAGTCATTATGCTCAATGAAAGTGAAACCACATGAAGAAAAATAACATAAAGCCTATGTGATAAAACACATCAAGAGGGAACTCATGATCACCTAGGTAAACTGCATTGACAGTGGTGATGATATGGACGGATTGAGACTGTTGGACCTACGATGAACCCCTGAGATGAATCTCCCAGTAGCTACATTGTTGCCTGGAAATCCAGAATTCAGAACCCTAGCTAACCCACTCACTGGACATGCCTTACATTTAACATAATCATTTAAATGGAATCAAACATTCGCCTGACTTGATCACCTTGTTCCAGCAAGATGCAACAACATA